GACAGGGTGTCACTATGTAGTCCAGGCTGGCCTCAAATGCCCAGTGACCCTCCTGCCTCAGCCTCTAGAGTGCTGGCAGAGCTAAATGAGACCTTCACCATCATCATCCACCCTGCTTTTCTGCAGACGAGGACCAGTAGGCAGAGGGCGTGGTGTGGGTGGGAAAGGACAGGAGGACACCGCCATCCCCCTCCCACATGTCACCTGGACAGCCCCCCAGAAGCTTCTCCCACCCAGGCCTTCATCACACGGACAAAGGAACAGGGCCCCGGGTGTAGCACAGCTGCTACCAGAACAAACCAGAGCAAAGAAGGAAAAGCAAAGGACGAGGCCCTGGGAGAACCCGACTTGCCGCATCTGGGGCTCTTCAGGGAGCGGGCAGCCGGCACCTCACAGCTGCGTCCCTCGGCCCTCAGTGACAGCCCCTCTGCTGAGACCTGGCCCTGGAACCAGCTTCCCTCAGGCTGGCTGGGCTTGGAGATGACTAGACGCCACAGGTGGCGGCGGCCTGAGTGTCCCGCCCGAGGGAAGGAAGGAAGGAAGGAAAGAAGGGCCAGTCTCACGTCCCACCACCCGCTCACCTGGCCTGTGACACAGCGTCAGCACTGAGAGGGACAGCAGATGTCCCCGTCCTCTTCCCAGACGCGGCGACCGAGGCAGCCCAGGCCGAGAAGTGACTCAGCCAACACAGGCAGGACAGGGCTGAGCCAGGCTTCCTCCCCTGCCCCCGCCGCCTCCTCCGCCCCCTCCCCAGCGCCCACCGGGTGACTTCTCTCTCCACTCAGTGGGTTCCCGCAGAAGGGGACAGACGACGCTCTTGTGCCCCGGGGTGGTGAGCCTGTGGGACAGGGCAAGCCTCAGGGTGCACGTCCTCCCCTCGGGTCTCTGCAGTGGCCTCTGGGGCACACCAGCTGAGCTCGGCTCCTCCTGGGTGACCTCTGCCCGTGCTGTCTGAGGTGGACCAGACTCTGCCCGCCACAGCTGCTTTGGGGACACTGAGGCAGGGGTGGAGGCCAGAGCCGTGGCCAGAAGATTGTACCCAGCACATCTGGGGCGGTGTGTGCAGGAAGCGGCGCCCGTCGGCCCACTGAGCAGGGAGGGCTGTGGCACCACCTGCCAGGCGCAGCTGATGCCCAGCTTTCCCCATGCTCCTGCCCTTCTCCCTGTCACTGGCTCTCAGGACAGAGCTCACCACCTGCTTCCTCCGGGAGCAGCCCTGGTGAGGGTATCTGCCACCCTAGGGACTCACAAGGAAGGGCGTGCCAACCTGAAGCTGACGCTCCGAGACACCTCCACTGCCCAGTGCCTGTGGGTCTCAGGCACCGTGTGTAGAGTGAATGCTGGATCCTGCGTGAGCCCCTACCCTGAGGGGGACGGGAAGGCTCAGCAGGGGCCCCAAAACTGAACCCAGCCCACATCCTGAGGACCTGCTGTGCCCTTGCCCTTTTTATTTTTACCTGAACTGGTCTTACTGAGTGGCTAACTTCTCTGGGCTGGAGAAGCTTTTAACATTCCCTCAGCTTGTGTCTCTTGCTGCAGGCACTGTGTTAGGCCATCTGCAATCCCAGTGCTTGTGAAGACTGAGGCAGGAGGATCTCAAGTTCGAGCCCAGCCAGGGTCAGTTAGCAGGCTGTCTCACAATAAAAACTGGTGTAGCTCAATTGAGGATGTAGCTCAATGTGAAGGCCCTGGATTCAATCCCCAGTACCTGTCCCCACCCCCCCGAAAAAAGAAGAAAAAGCAACAGCTTGGAGTGGCTGAGGAGGTAGCTGGGCGTCTGGCCTGTGTTTGGCAGGAACAAGGAGGTGCAGGAAATGGAACCCAGCTGTTCCCAGGGTCACCTCAGGCCTCTATCACAAGGGTTGAGAAGGGGTCTCAGTCAGTGACAGGCCTGAGCCAGGCCCCTTGCAGGAAGTGGGACTTGAGGTACTGACCAGACAGAGAAGGAAAGAGAAACACAAAACAAAACCCAGCTTGTGCAAGGGCCCTGCGGAGCAGGCTGAGCACAGCTCCAGGCTGAGCACCCCATGGGCGCGCAAGGCAGGGCAGGCAGGGCAGGCAGGGCAGGCAGGCCAGGCTGCACCTGGCAAAATCCTTGGCTGGTTTTTTCCATGTTAGGGAGAGGGCGGGCTTCAGCAAGGTCTCTGGGCTCAAAAAAAGATTAGGACTTCTGGGCCCCACCCTACTGAAACAAAAGCTCTGCCCCAGGCCCAGAAATCAGGATTTTACGCAGGGTGTGGTAATCCCAGCACACGGGAGGCTGAGACAAGACAATTGCTGCAAGTTCCAGGCCAGCCTGGAGGTCCTGTTGCAAAAAAAAAAAACAAACCCACAACAAAACCCCCCAAAACAAAAGCAAAACAACAACAAAAGAAGCCAGACGTGGTGGTGCATGCCTGTGATGCCAGCTTGAGAAGCTGAGACAGGAAGATCACTGCAAGTTCAAGGCCAGCCTGAGCTACATAGTGAGACCCAGTCACCAAAAAACAAAAAAACCCAAACGAACAAAAAAGATTTCAGATCTACAAGAAACCCCCAAAATAAAGATAAACATATTGCGATACATTGTTCCGGGCTTTTTATATGCACATCTATGCAGACTTGCTGGATTTCTCTTCTTCCCCTTCGTGTTTTTTTTTTTTTTTTTTTTCCCTTCGTTTTGTTTTCAACTGGAGACTGAACCCCGGGCCTTTTCACTGAGCTACATCCCCAACCCTGTTCTGAGACACAGTCTGTGATGCCAAGTCCTGAGGTTACTGAGGCTGGGCTCTAACCTGGCATCTTCCTGCCTCAGCCTTCTGGAGTCCTGGGGTCACAGACGTGCACCAACATGCCCAGCTTCTTTTCTTTCCTTCCTTTCGTTTTTTGAGATGGCGTCTTGCTTTGTCGTCCTGGATGACTTCAAACTCCAGATGGTCCTGCCTCAGCTTCCGTTGGTGGGACAGGCCCTGGCTGGATTTGACTGTGATGTAGAACAGATCCCGGGCACCTTCCAGGTCAATCAGCACAATTTTTTTCTTACCCAGGGTGTTGAGCGCCGGGCCTGGCATACGCTAAGCTGCTCTGCTGCCAAGAACGGAGTCATTTCAGGGTCTGGCAGCTGCCAGGGCGGGGACCCCATCACTGTCAAGTCCCTGCATGGAGGTGGGCTGTCACCAACATTTGGTGACACTACCCGCAAGCCCCTTTATAATTCTGGAGCACGGCACCGTTTGTCTCTTCGGGATGCGCTCCTGCCCGTGTACCTGTTGGGGAATGGCGAGCCCCGAGGGGTCCCGTCCAGCCCGGCCGCGCGGCCCCTTTAAGAGCCGGGCGGGGCGGGGCGCGCTATTTTTAGCGCGGCGGGGTCACGTGACGCAGTGACGTCGCCGAATGTTGTTGTTGGTGGCGGCGGCGAGCGCAGCCCAGCGCCGCGAAGATGGAGGAGCCGTCGAGGGGACGCTGTCGCCGCTGTCGCCGCCAC